TTTTGATGCATTTTCGGCCTTAAAATGGCCGCTATTCGGCTATCGTTAATCGGATCATGAAAAAAATGCATGTGCATATGTCCCATATAATGTGTGATGTATGAGTGAAGTTTGAACTTAATCGGTCCATGCATGTTCGAGATACAGGTGATCACGGACGCACGGACGCACGGATGCACGGACGCACGGACGCACGGACGCACACAGGGCAAACCATAAGTCCCCGTTTTCGGACTACGTCCGAACGGGGACTAAAAATAGACATTGTTTGTAATACATATCTAATTACACAATTGTGCAAAACTGCTCCACTTTTTTTAACTCCCCACACAGAATGTATAAGATAGATGTGCATAATTTCCATTTACACAGAATTGTTTTCTGGCTCAAAATACAGTCCGTATGGTCTGTATACTCACCAAGTCGGTTTGTTGGCAAAACTGCTATTTATTAATGTGTCTACAATTTGAAATTGAAAATTAAAAAAAATTGAAGCAAATTTTCAAATTTAATTTTCTGGTTGAACACTTTCAGTATAATATAATACACCTTTATTTTCAGTCACTTTTTATAAGTCTATTGTTGTGATGAAAATCAAATAAACGAATGACCACCAGGTGCACCTCTAGGTGAATTAATTTCATAAGTATAAATGTTTGTTTTGTTGTGTAGCAAAATATTGGTGTTTTATAAATCCTGTGCATCGTTTTCAACATTTGGAATTCGACATTTTGCCCTAATCGTAAGTTCATTAACGAATTATACAATAATCGAATGGCGACATGCCACGTATTTCAGAGGGCAACAATTTCTAAAGTGCAAATGTTTGTTTTGTTGTAATAAATAAAATAGCAAAATATTGGTGTTTTAGAAAACCTGTGCATCGTTTTCAACGTTTTTTCTCTCTTTAGAATTCAACACTTTGTCCTAATCTCAAGTTTGTTAACGCATTATACAATTGAATAAACGAATGCCACCATGTGTCACGTATTACGATTTCTGAAACATGCCAATTAAGGAACAACTTTCGAAACAATATTGAGCAGGCGATTTCGCCATATATGCCCTGTATGCAGATAAGCCAAACACAAGCACCTATTTCAGAAAAAAAATGAAGGGGGGGTGGAAAAAGTATATGCAGAATATTTTACGTTGAAAACCATATTATAGGTATGCCTTGTTTATACTTACTGTGACTAAATAGAGGTTGTGCAGCCATGGGGAGGACGTGTCTGTTTTCTGTAAGTCACACAGCCAGCAATTATCCCAATAGTAATCACGATAACTCCCACGCAGCACGCGATAATGAAGCCTGCCATTGAGGTGCCTTAGAATGTATAGGAATTAATTATTTAGGTTTGTTTATATGTACATGTGTATATATAACAGTAATAATTGAAACAATAATAGAATAGTGAGCAAGATAACAACAAACATATCATTATATTCTAGGGCGAATGTTGAATAAGAAGTTTCCACTCTTACTGTCATGTCACCATTAGGTTCATAAATTTCAATTGGCGACTGAAATCGTGTTCTATTTGTTTTTTATATAAGCTTACCAAACTGCATATGGTATGTAAACTTTAAACCTTAGATTATGAGGTTATTACGAGGATACCTCAAAGTATGCACGAAGACGGTACAGCGGGATTATCGATCGACGCGCAGCGGACGTCGATGCGACGGCGTACTGTCTGAGTGCATACTTTGAGGTATTCTCGTAATAACCTTATTATTATACATCTTTTCCTTCCAAGGATACATCATGGGAATGCGGAAATCCAAAAAGTTTAGAACAGAATCTGCGAACTTCTTTGTATGGAGTCTGATCCAACCCTGGTAGCAGGCATGTCTGTTTCTATTAATAGAGGACGCTTACGCGCGTAATCATTCCATATTTGGAATTCGCATTTCTTTATATGGTAAGATGAAAATACCCCGTAAAATACCACAAAATTACGGCACGCTGTACCTTATGGCGTTACGGTGATAGATGTATAATATATATATATATATATATATATATATTGTTCGATACAAATTGATGAAGGTTACACGCCTTGTAAATATCATTGTACTATTGTCTTCCTAATAGTGATACTATTGTAAGGTATTTATAATACTAATAATGAATCCAACACATGCTATTTTAATACCGAGTTTCATAAAGCGTGATGCAACTTTTCACTTACCTGGCGAATGATTGTTATCCCCGGTGTCCGAGTCCGCATAATTATATGAGGAATCCCAAACATCATCTCTGTACATTGCAGTATATCTGATTCTGAATCCTTTACGTGTCATTGAGCCATCACTATGGAAATGTAAAGTCATCGATTTTCCGGATGAGGAAACAAGAAATCCCTGTGCATATCCAGAGTAGGATGCAATCGGTGAAGCTGACGTGCTAGAACCATCATATATGTAAAGGTAATCAGAGCTCTCTTCAGTGGAAAACTCATCGGCTCGTAACTGGTAAATAAGAGATATATATATATATATATATATATATATATATATATATATATATATATATATATATA